CAGTTACTGAAAGCACTCAGTGAAGGACAATGGCACCTTCTTTAGATTACACTTTGGATTTCTTTTTGAAAGATGAAGAGTGGGAATAGTGGGGGGGGGGGGGGGGGAGATTGTTGTGGGTGCACACGGGAAGTGGGTGGAGTGAAAAATGGCAATGGAATGAATAATGTATCATCATTGGAGTTTATTAACAGTGCTGACCAGGTACACACACATTCTGAAGGAAGAAAATGTCTTTAAGAATTGTGATCCTTGCAATCTAGGTAATATGTACTTAGGATAAGTATAATCACCTTTATTGGCCAAGTATGTTACACACAAGGAATTTGTTTCCGGTATAGAACCAATGGCAGCCATCTGCGGCACCACCTCATCCGATGGCTCTAACCATCAGGGGCAACAGGGGGGTTCAGTGTCTTGCCCAAGGACACTTTGACATGTGGACTGGAGGCACCGAGATTCAAACCTTCAACCTTCTGGTTGGGAAACGACTGCTCTACCCACCACACCACTGTCACCTCCCCGTGTTGCTCAAGGACATGTCAGCGGCACAGCAGCTGCTTTGCTGTCCTACCGACCAGCTGTTGACCAGGTACACACACATTCTGAAGGACATACTTACAGTATGTCATTGTTGAAGCACTAAAATAGAACACTTAAGTGAAAGCATTAAAACTATCATTTTAAATGACACCTGAGTGATTTACAGAAGCAGAAAGCACTAATTTCACCTTCATATTAGACTGAGCATGCTGCTCAAGCATTCAAGCACATATCAACTTGACCTTTGTCAAATTACTATATACCTGCAAGATGCCAGTGCAACATGACTGCCATAGATTTATTCATTTAGTGTGTTGAATGCTTCTCTCTCTAAGAGAGGTTCATTCATTTCAAATTCATGCAGCCATTATGACTCCAAATCTGTTGCTGACTGAGCTCCGTGTTTGTTATATACTCTGCGTAATCCTGCCAGTAATTGCAACACAGACAGTGTTTGTTTGGCTGAGCAAAGTGGATTCTTTTTTCACATTTTTATTATCATATCGTGTCATTATCACATTACAGTATATATATCAGCTGATCCCTTTAAATGTTAACCCAACACTCAGGATGTGCTAAAAACAGCTCAGAATTTATTTGAGTGTTGCATTTTGATATTTAATTGACAAGGGATGTTATGGTAGGAGACCCAGACTCCACTGCTGACACAAACATAAAAAAGCCAGATTGGAATGTACCTGAAGCCATAATCCTTCTGGGAGGCTGTCTTGTGCACAGATGAGACTAAAATAGAGCTTTTTGGTGAAGGACATCATTTTACTGTTTTCAGAAAACAAAACAAGGCTTTCAAAGAAAAGAGCAAGGTCCCTACAGTCACACGGTGGAGGTTCACTGATGTGTTGGGGTTGCTTTGCTGCTTCAGCCACTGGATGTCTTGACTGTGTGTATGGCATTATGACATCTGAAAACTACCAGTGAATTCTGGGGCACAGTGTAGGGCCCAGTGTCAGAAAGGTGGGTCTCTGTCAGAGGTCATGGTCTTACAGCAGGACAATGACCCAAAGCAGATTTCAAACAGCATCAGAAATGGTTTCAGACAATGAGCTGGAGAGTTCTGAAGCTGCCAGCAATGAATCCAGATAGAGCTGCTTGTGGAGAGATCTCTGAGATCTCAGAACAGCAGCTGGGAGAAGGAACCCTTCAAATCTGAGAGACCTGGAGCAGTTGGCAAAAGACAAGTGGTCCAGAATTCCAGTAGAGAGGTGGAAGAAACTCACTGATGATTACAGGAAGTGACTGATTTCAGTTATTTTGTCCAAAGGGTGTGCCACCAAATATTAAGTTGAGGGTGTCAGTAATTCTGTCCGGTGTGGAGTGTATCAGATTAAGCTTTTTTCTGCTGTTTTGTGTTGTTCCAATGCAAACAAAAGAAATAAATATGAGAATACCAAATAATTTGTAATTGCAACAGTTACATGGGAAAAGTGGTGTGCTGTCTGACAGAAATGCAAGGGTGCCAATATTTTTGGCCAGGACTGTATGCTTCACTGTCTCTACGAGCTAATCACTAACTGTGTCTGTCTGTTGTTTCGTGTTGGATGAATACCAAACTGTGGATTTAATGACTCACTGAGTCATTTCAGATTTGTCTTGAAAAGATAAAAATTATGGGGGTGAAGATAAACCAATATGAATCAGAAATTCAATACAAGAGTCAGATTGATGGCTGCACTGGTTGGAAAACACAGATGCAATGAAATGAGTATAAAAATGGCCTAAAATCAATATGGACCTCATAAACCAATATTTGGCAAGTTTCCCATTACTTCTTGCTTTGCTTTGCTCTAGTGTGTGTGTGTTGTGTGCCATCTCCTGCCGGTGTTCAAACATGACTCCTTCTTAACGACTCCGGTCCAGGACAAATGCCGTGAACAGTACAGATAGCTGCAGCAGCAAACAGTGCTAGTTTTAGCAGCTAGCTCAGAGTGCAGAACCTGCAGCACTTGTGTCGAGTAGCCTCTACCGGGAGTACCGTGGACCTTGCAAGAAGAAATGTTACAAAGGCAACCAGCTAGCAATAGTGCTATTGTTAGTAGCTAATATTATGCCCATAGTGCAGAACATGCACCGCTTATGTCGAGCAGCCTATACCTGGAGTTCCACCAACCTTGCAAGTACAGGTATGTGCCAAAAAATTATAATATCGAGGAAAAGTCCATATATTTCAATAATTTGTTTCAAAAAGTGAAACTTGTATGTTATATTAGTTTTTA